TCTGCTCTTCGGTCCTTCTCCTCCTGTTCCTTCTCTTCTGCTATTGCTGCCCGGCCGTCTTGGTTGACCTGGTAGCAGACGCAGTTTATGAGTTCATGCACCTGCTCCTTCAGCATGTCACAGGCAATGAATACCTGCCACATCTCCTGAGCGACGGCTCGCTCACGGTCGTTCTGTTCCTGCATCTCTTGCACAGAAAATTTGACATGTTGTACCTGGGTGGTAAGTGTCTTCACGCACATTGCCACGTATTCCTGGCTCTTTCTCAGCGTCACCATTTCTTCTGTGTTCCTGCGAAGTGACTCGTGCACCTCGGATTTCTGTTCCTGGGACTTCTTCACTTCTTCCAGTGTTTCCTTGAGCGCTCTCCATGGCTGGTGCTGTTCCTTGCTGGAAGACTACTCCTGACCTCTCTGCGAGGTTTCCACAGAGTTCCTTGAGCTGCGAAAGCATCTCGCAACATGCGGTTCCTTGCGCTGCACTTCCTATGCAAACAGTTCCTAGCTCACATGCACTCATGTCACTGCACATGACGTCCTGCTCGCATGCACTTGCACAACAGACAGAAAATTCCTGAAGTTCCTGAAGCTCTTGAAATTCCTGAAACTCGTCTTGAAAACCACAACTCTCAAGACACTGTTCCTTGCAACTCTGAAACTGAAGACTCTCCGAAGTCACTGAATTTTCTGCAAACAACAGGGCTGCAAAAGACAAACTTCCTTGGCTTTTGATCATCCTGGTAGCTGCTTTGGCAGCTGCCTTGGCTTGTGCCTGGGCCTTGTGTTCCTTGAGCTCTTCTTTTCCTACGGGTTCGTTCTCACCTGTTTGAAAACCTAACCAGTGCAACCACAATCTAATACGCTTCGCAGAAAGGGGCTTGGTTCCTATGTCGGCTGTGTTCTCCTTGGTCCCTACAGGGTGTACACTGATTGTTCCTTGCTTGTGGAGGTCTTGAAGAAACAAGGTCCTGATCTGTAAGTGCTTGACTCTTCCTACACCTTGTCTGGTAATAATACCTCTAGCTGCCGATTCAAATGTACCTTGCACTGCTTCCTAGTCAAAAATTCCACTGCTTCCTTGAGTAAGATGCTGTCGCTGGCTGCGCTAGCTCCTGCGTAGTACTCTGCTTCTCCACTGCTTAAGCTGACTGACTGCTGGTTCCTAGAAAAGGAGTATATGCACTGCCCGTCAAGACAAACTGTTCCTGATGACGTTGATCTCCTAGTGTCCTTCTTACCTGCCCTTTCCGAATCACTGAAAACTTCCAAAAGATGATGTTCCTTGGGATTTGTTCCTGTGAAATCATAGCTGCCGTTCCTGACAGTTTCATGGAGGTTGCTGAGCCCTCGAGGTGTCTTCCTATACACTAGGTCACTAGGTGGTATCCTTCAGTTCTTGCCATGTACTGTACCAGGTGTACCGTGTACCAAGTGCTTCCATGAATCATGAGTAGGTTCCGACATCTTGGAGCCTGGAGGCTAGTCCTCGCACGGCAAATTGTACATCAGGGCGATCCTGACTGACATACAAGAGTACGCCAACGCATTTCCTGAAAGATGCCGCTTGTTCCTGGTCTAAGGGTTGTGTTTTGTCTGTTTCCTGAGACTGTTGTGCGCACGGAGTTGGCTTTGAGGCTTTGCTAGTGAGCTTGAGCTCTTCCTTCAGCTTTCCTAGATACTTCGGGTCACTAGTGATGTGAAGCTCATGATTGTGATAGCTGAATTTCCTCTTGAGGAGTCTGATGGTTTGATGAGACTCTCCTACTTCAAGTTCTTGCTCGGTCAAGAAGGGGCCTTCAACCTTGAGTTCGTAGGTCTCTCCTAGCTTTGCTAGCTTGGGCTCTAGGCTTCTGGTCTTTCCTGCTGCTTGAATGTCATCAACATGCACAACAAGAATGCTGTTCGGATCGTCACGAAACAAAGTAGGGCAAGCAATGCACCTATCAAAGTTCTGCTCTTTGAGGGTTCCTGCAAAATGATCACTCCAAAGTAGTGCTGCATCTCGCTGTCCTGGAAGTACTCTAAGCAGTAACAAACCTTCGTTCCTGCAACTAGGATCCTGATCTTCAAACAGATCTACATATTCCTTTGGGAATTGGCATGCACAGTGAGTCTTCTGCGGTACCTGTAAGAAAGCATCCTTGACATCACTTAGAATACAGGGCATGTTCCTGTTGTAACCCCAAGATGGGGATCAATCTCACCAACGATGCGCTCGTAGCTGGGCTGAGCGTGTCGGTCCTGACCTCTACACCACGGAACTTCCTCGCTACAAGTCCCGCTCTTCGCCGTTCCTGAATCTCCAGTCAAAAACGAATTTTGTTGTGATCCACTTTGTTCCTTGGCTGTTCTCTTCTTCTTCTCCTATCTCTCTCTGCTCTTGTATCTCAAGTTCCTGCAAGGGTTTCCTTGCCACTGCCTTCAGAGCCTGTTGCTCTCCGTGAGCATCGCCCCACGGTCAAGTTCCTGCAGTTGGATCTCCGAAACTTCTGGAGGTCCTGAACCCTCACTCTTACAGAGGTTTTCTTCTCCATCGGAGTCGCCAATGTCCGAATACGAATCTTCCCAGAAATGTCCTCTCAGGCAGTTCTTCGTCGTTGTGTTCAAACACTCTTCCTACGTTGAACCGAGGGTACTTCTTTGTAGGAGAATCGATCTTCGGGATCTTGGAGCCTGTTCCTACATCTTCAAACTCAAGTTTCCTTAAAGGTGCTGGTCCTCTAGCAGACAGAAGTCCGCTAGCCATTGCACTGTCCGGAATGAGTTCTGCTTCTGAGGCTTCATCCATGTCTCTGCTGCTACTCGATGCTGGGTCTGATGCTGCTTCATCCTGGTTGCCTTCAGAGTACTCTTGCTTTTTCGCTTGTGCTGTGCTTGTTCCTGTTTGGCTTTGTTCTCTAAGTACGTAGTCCTGGTAGGTCCTGACTTTGCTGCAGAGTCCCCGCCTTGGATGACAATCGGTCCTGAAGGTGCTGAGTCCTGTACAGGTTGTTCCTGACTTCCGGCTCCATCCATGACAGGTGGAGCCTCTGCAACTGGTCCTGGAATGTTCTTCGTGGGAATTGTTCTCGTAGTGAGAGTAGTGTGCTTCACTTCCCATGTGTGTATTCCTACACTGCTTATTCCTTTGGCATCGAAATGTTCTGTGCAACGCTTTGCGCTGCGACTCGTCTTAATGCCGTCCATGTGCCGTGTAATGAAGAGGTTGTTGTCTGTTTTTCCTAAAACACTCCTCTCAGCCAAATTGGGTCTCCTTTCCTATTTCCTCTTGTTCCTGAACGATTGGCTAAAACCATAAGAGATTCGCCAAATTCTGCGAGTTGACCCTCGTAGGGGCGGCGGCGACCCGCGATCCACTCGTAGGGCGTCATCCCTGTTCCTGCGCGGCGATGGTACCTATTCAAGGTCCATGCCGAATGTCTGAAAGCCCAACTGAAGATAGGATGAGTATGAGCAATGTATGTTCCTGTACGATCGAGGTGCCTAATCAGAGTTGTTCCTTAGTCCTTGGCGCCTAATGGTTTGTATTGCTCTCTCCGCCATGCCGCTGGTTTCCTTCTGGCCACTGGCTGCGTCCTGTAAAACTGTTCTTCGACCTAAGGCTGCACGCTGCTTCTGGATTACCTGCTTCAACTTCATCATTGTTCCTTCGTTGTCAGCCTTTAAGTTGATTGTTCCATATTGCAGTTGAGTGCTCAAGTAGGTGACTCCTTCACAGAGGTGTTCCACAAGATCTTTTCCTTTAGATGCCGTAGGGATGCAGATCATGTTCCTACTCCAAGAATCGACACACACAAGACTTACTGCCGCTGGTGCCTCATCATGACTTGTTCCTGTAAAACAGAAATCCATGCAGAATGTAGGTCTCGAAGATCTTTCCTTCTCAGGGTTCTCACGAGGATGAGGTGACTCTTTTCCTTTGCACGCTACACATGTAGGGCACCAAGATGCATATGGCAAGTGTGTGAGATTATGGACTGCAACTTCTTCCGGTTTGGGCTGTTTCTGTTCCTTCAAAGGTTCGGCCTCTACAAACTCCTTGTACTTCTTCTGAGCTGTGCTGAGCTCCATGTGCCTTTCAGCTTCCATGATAGTCCTACTGAGCCTTCTGAGGATCTCTTGCTTCGAACCAAACTTTGACACTCCAAGTTCCTTGCAAAGTTCTCTGAGGGTCTTGAGGCTGTTCTGTTGCTTGTACTCATGACCACCAAAATAGTTCTCCTGCAAGTTCATGCCTGTGCTCTGAAGCTTGGGCCTCTGAGGTCTCTTCTTGTTCCTGCTCTTCCTGTTCTGGGATTGTGTCAAGCGGGTGAACCTTCTGTTTTGTCTTCCTGGCCTTTGGGTTCACAGGTTCAATGCGTTCAAATCTACTGTGTCCTGTCCAAGATAAACCTCCTAATGGTTCGGGGTCTCTGTGAGGCTCACCCAAAGTCCAGAACCTGTCATTCTCAAAGAAATCCTTGTTGATTGGCTCTTCTCCTTGAGTGTACCTAGTAGGCTTCAAGTTCGTGATTTCCACAGGAATATCGTTGGTATCTCGAGGATTGAACAAAGTCTTCCTAAGGGAATTGTGGTACCTAATGAGTTCTTTGCCATCCATGCTGATCGACCACGCGTCCTCAGTGTATTCTTCAAACATGCGCCTATCCTTGTCTTCCTTGGGTGTACCTATGAGGTTTAAGGGAAACTCTTTGAAAGAAACCAAAGTCAATGTCCGATTCTCCTTGCTGCCGTCGAAGATTGTTCCGAAGGTTCCTCAAGTTCCTCAAACATGACACTATGGTGCAACAGATACCACTGGTCATCGTCCTCAATGAGTACTGCTCTGTAAGCAAACTTTCCTGGTGGAAACAGTAAGTAAGTGTCACCGTGTTCTGGAGTTCCTAGGCTGAAATGTACTTGGTATGGATCTCTCCAGTTGGTCCATCCAACACGCTGCTCTTCGACAAGTTCCTTGAGGTTCTCGCACAAGTAGATGGGAATAGGCTTTGCTTCTGCTTCCTAGTTGACCGCTCTCACAAAGGCTCTTGTTGTAAGTGAGTTGTTGTTGTAGTTCACTGCGATCTTGGTTGTTCCTTCCGTGAGGAAAGTCCCTGTAGCTGTTCCATCTCTGAACTCCCAGCCTTTCTTCAACAGTTTACCTACTGCCAGAAGAGGGTGAACAACTGACGAAATCAAGAACACCCCTCCTTTGGGACCTTTCGGAGGCCGGCGGCGAAGTTTCTGCTCTTCCCGAGCCTTTCGAGACTCCTTCGCGATGGCAGCTTCATTCTTGAGCTCTGTAGCAACATGGGCCACGAGATCGGAGTCGACCTGCGTGGCCTTTCTGTAGCGCCACCCCATGAAGTGATCTGCAGCTGAGTAATCAGGAGCCGAAGGTGAGATGCGGTGGGCATCTGGCGGCAGATGAGCTCTAGCCCTTAAAGCGCTGGGGCATTGATCTGATCGATGGTCACGAAGGATTCGGCTCAGGCACTCGTGCTCGTAGATGCCCTTCGGGATCTCGCCAACCCTCAACCAGTGCTCATGAAAAGCCGTAAGGGTGAAGTTCTGATCCCTCACGCTCTTCAAGATGTTCAGCACGGTGGCAGGGCCACTGAGTTGAAGACCTCCTCCCTGGGGAGGTGTGTCGTTCATCAACCCAACCGCAATATGAAGTGCACAGGCAAGATCCTGAGATCATCGAGCTTGAGGGCTGGCACATCTTCTGATCAGACTTTCGATCTTGGCATAAACGAATTCTGGGCCGGCTGGAACCAGGGCTTTAAGCCCTTGAACGATGGAATTGGCTTGGAGCGGGGTCGGATCCTGAGCAAGAACATCTCCTCGCCTGTAAGGCCCTTCTGACTCCATCACGACCCACGTGTCCTCGGAACCAGCAGGTGGGGCTTGAGGCGCTACCGCTCCAATTCCACTGCCCGGAGGAGGCGCAACCGGATCTGCGGGGAGGCCCTTCCGGATCCTCTCCGCACGAGCCTCCAAGCTTCCTTGGTACTGGTAGTTCCTGTATAGTCCGCAACATCCATCGCTCCGAAGGCATACACCCGCGAGGCCGGGACACCTGCAGGGATAGACCCATTGGGCGTCGGCGCCCAGAATCGAATGAAGTCCCCATTACTCGTATCCAACGTCTCAGTGTACAAGTCCAAGTCCGGCGTCAAGATCACGTGGTCAAAGGAATCGACATGAGCGAGAACAAGCCGTGCATGAGCAACTCCACGATCTCTCCCATATTCACTATAACATACATCACCGGGGGCATACATACCTCCGCTTACTGGCCGATGAGCTCCAAGCCTTTACGAGCGCCGTAGACGCCCTTGGAACCGCCCTTTCCCTTGATGGACAAAGTGTATTCTTGATCCCCAGCCAGTTTCTTGATGTCGAATTTCAAGACCAGGACAACATTAGCAAAAACCCCGACTAACACCAAGAGGACAAGCAGAAGCAACCCCCAATCTCGCAATCCGCTGGCCTCCGACTCACTCGGCGAAGAAGAGGCGCAATTGCAGTGGCAGACGATTGGTTCTGCTGGAGCTCGCGTTCGCGAAGATCCTCCAACGAAGGCCAAAGCTGACACGAAACCTGCGCCTGCCCAAGCAAGGCAGCTCCAATCCATGGGCAGGAGCTAGTCGATCTTAGAAGCTTGAGAGTTAAACAAGCGGCCATGTTCGGCTGACACATATCATTCACGAGCAAGCTCAAACCAGGACGTTTTTATTCGTTTGTTCGCGGCATAAGCGTCGGGAGTTTGTAGTCTAAAAAAGGCGGGGGGTTGGGTGAGCGCAGCCCCGCCCCCCTCTCATTTCCAAACATTTACAAACTTTCAAACTTGGCATTTGTTATTCTTCGCTGTACACCTCTAACACGTCTGGCTTTCGCCTTCAGAAGACTTTTCATCTATGATTGTTCTTCTTTTTTCACTTCTAACCCCCCGAAACGTTTTCGTGTGGCTTTCTCCTTTATGTGTGATGGAAAGGACGTTTTTAGTCGTTTCTTCGCGGCATAAGCGCCGGTAGTTTGCAGTCCAAAAAAAATGCAGGGGGATTGGGGGGGTGCAGCCCCGCCCATTTGCGAACTTTTCCAACATAAGGTATTCTTTGCTATATCACCCTACTACGTCTGATTTTCGTCTTCAGAAGACGTTTCATTTAGACTGATTTTTTGTTTTCACGTTTGTGCCCCTAAGGCGTTGTCGTGTGGCTTTCTCCTTATGTGTGATGGGAAAGACGTTGTTATCCATTTCTTCGCGGCATACGAGCCTAGAGTTTGCAGTCTGCAAAATGCGGGGGGGGCTAGGGCGGTCGCAGCCCCCCCCCCCATTTGCAAACCTTTCACTTTTAACACCCCTAAAGCGTTTTTTCTTTTCTGCGTGATGGACGAGACGATTTTATTCTTTTGTTCGCGGCCTAAGAGCGGGGAGCTTGCAGTCTGAAAAAAGCCGAGGGGTTAGAGGGACCTGTATGTACAACATACATTGACGTAGTGTGCTTGCTTGCAGACTTTCTCCGCAGATATGTTGGGTTCAAAGTTTTTCGTGCGGCTCAATTGTTGAAAACTGAAAATTTTCATTCGCAAACAATGTTTTGAATGAATACACAAACAAATCAAAACCATAATTATCAACATAAGACTTCTAGTCAATATTTTAAAGCATCATTCCGAGTAAATCATTACAACCAAAACCCAAAATCCAACACGCCAACAGACAAGAAACACCAAGCCAAGCAGAAAGGCGAGCCAAACCGAGCCAAGCCAAGCCGAGCCAAGTCAAACCAGAGCCCAAAGCACAAGGACCAGGGAAGCGGGGACCAGGGGGCCAGACCTACCAAGGCCCCCCAAAGCGTGCCAGACTTAGGAACAAAAATCCGGGAGCCCACACCCACAGACACAGACACACACACACACACACAGACACACACCGACACACACAGACATGCTACTCTGCAACCAAGTCAGGCTGTGAGGGTGCCCATCTGAGGCAGACACGAAGGTTTCCGTTGCCAGCAAAGCTGCTCCGACAATGGCTCCCAGTGCAGCGGCTGGCAAAAAGATTTGGAAGAACTCAACACCTTTGCTGTTGAGGTCGAACGCCCTCGTTTGCCGCACTGTGTCTGCAAGCATGCAAGGACATGCAAGGACGGTTTGCACATGTCCATGCAACCAGCCCATCCAGTGCACAGTAAAAGTAAACCCTGCGCCCAAACCCTGATGGCAACCCATCCGTTGGCCAGTGCGTCCATGCCCAACCATGATGACGTCCATGCTACCATCCCATGCAATAGGACAGTGCATCAATGCCAAGTCCGTGATAAGTGATAACGTCCATGCTACCAACCCATCCATCCATTGGCCAGTGCATCCATATACAGACCACGATAGCATCCATGCTACCAAGGCATCCATTGGCCAGTGCATCCATATACAGACCACGATAGCATCCATGCTACCAAGGCATCCACTGGCTAGTGCATCCATGCTCAAAACATGATAACACTCATACTCATGCTACCAACCCCTCCATTAGCCAGTGAATCCATGCTCCAACCATGATAGCGTCCATGCCGCTGAATCCTCCAACCCATCCAAGCATTGGAACATGCGAAAGTATCGGTCCTGCCCATGCTTTGCCCCTGTCCACAAACATAGCGCGGCAAACAAGGGTGATCTGCCCTGTTTGCCCTCCATTGCCGAAAGTCCGCCTGCTGTAGTAATGTCGAGGAACTGTCCTTGACCTGCAAGAAACATGGATGCATGGGATCTTGCTGGCACAAGCGGCGATGAGGCCGTTACGGTTGACACCAAAGGTTGGCACTTCTCTTCGGCACTTGCCCTGCAGGTCGCCAAGACTTTGACTTACCTGTTGTAATTGCTCATATGGGAATGCTTTTTGGATGCCTTTCACACACAAGCATGTATACACGTGTCACGCGTGTGTGTGTATATATATATATATGTATATATATATATGTATATATATATATATATATGTATATATATATATATGTATATATATATATATTCTTATATACACACACTTTCATATGTACTGCTGTGCATATATATATATATATATATATATATATATGTATACACACACACACTCACTCACTCAATTACAGCCTTCGAAGACAGTCTTATATATACATATATATATATATACACACCCACACATGTCAATACACACATATATATATATATATATATATATATGCACACACTACAAATAAGTCAGTAAATTAGTGTTTACAAAAAGGTATACAGTATGTATGTATATAAATACACATGCACCTTATTTGGAGAGAGTATGTAGGTTCAGACAAGCATGCGGAGCGGTTCAGACAACAGAGCTTCTGTGTTTGTGTGTCACCTATGCTCGCCAGGTTTCAAGCATTCCGACCCTGGCTCGAGAAGCTATGGTAACCTTGAGAAGCACTCTGAAAACACGTGCATGCGAGAAACACCATGCTTGAATCTGCTTGGATGACACAGCGACGGGACCCGAACAACTTCAACTCAGAAGGACGAAGATCTTGGGAGCAAGGCTCAACACATCCCGATGGGTCATCGATTCCGATCGACGGTCACTGTCCTTGGGGAGGAGCACAAGGAATAGCGCCCTTAGATCAGAATGCAGCACGAACGCGCACTTTGTGACCGGATGGAAGCACGGGGCAAAGCCGCAAAATGATCAAGTTGTGTTGATTGCAGGGAGTCTTATGCTGCCGAGCACTCGTACTTTTGGCCTTAAGGTCTTGGCCGAGAAGCAAGGCCAAGTTCGCAAGGAGCACAGCACAGAAACCGCCCGGGCGGCAGGACCTGACGGTGTCAGGTCACGTCTTTTAACTCAGCAATGTTCAAGCAAATTCGACGACACCACACAGCCTCACGGCGCAGGACACTGCGGCCTCGTCACAAGATTTTCATAACGCTGACACTGACACGCCGCTGCGACTGAGGTAGACGCAAACACCAGGACACTTACTATGGCCGCCAGCCCGATTGCAAAGAGCCCTGCGCCTGTTTCGAGAGACAAAAGGGACCGGCGGACTGGCCCGGTTATAACCCGGCCTATCCCAAAGACTCTCAGTTCCTCGATGGGAGCAGAGCCACTTGGACAATCCATGGCAGACACCTTCGCCACTTGCCGAAGTACCTGAGTCTACATGCCAGGCCCGTCGGTGTACAGTACACAGAAGCTCTATCCATGCCCTATGCCGTGGCGCGTTTCGGCAAGGGCGACATTGTCGATTAGCTGCATGGGCTTACAGCGACAGAAGTATGCAGTATAATTCTTGTCAGGGCTGCAAATATGGCACGTTGAGCAGAAAGCACCGGTTAGCGGGCTGCCCGGCTGCCCTGCAAGGTCTGCGACGGGACCGGCAGAGCGGAACGGAGCTGAGGCACGAACATCGGGGCTTCAAGGGCTCTCAGCGCATCGGGGGAACCGGGGCCGCGGAACGGAGCTGAGCACAAAGCTGAGAGCCGAAAGGCAGAGCGTTCATCGTCCCTCTCCGCCTCTCCGGGGAGGCGCCTGGTCCTGTGGGGGGTTTTCTTTGCTGCTCAGCTCTCTCCGTTTGGAGAGCACGAAGGGCGTGTAAAAGAGTGCTCTCTCAGACTTTGATGGGCTCGGAGAAGCTCTTCTTCTCCCTCACTGCACTTGCATCATCCTCCTTCCCATCCCTCTTGCCCTCTTTGCCGAGCTCGACGAGGAACGCGCCGGAGAGAACGACTCCGGAGCCCAGAAGGACAGTCATGGAGACCTTCTCGTTCAAGTACCCCACCGAAATGGCCCCGACCATCAAAGTGTTTAGCTTGCCCAAGATCTGCTGGGAGCTGGCGCCGAGCTCCTTGAGCACGAAGACTCCAAGAAAGTTTAGAGACACAGCACTGACACAGGTGAGAGAGATCAGCACTACAGAATCGCATGTAAGCTCTGCAAAGGCCTGTGAGAAGCTATCTGTGCAAACGGCGAAGACGAAGGCCGTGAGCACACACCAGGGTGCTTGCAAGGAATAGAGTTGCATGGGGCTCATGGGGCTCACGTTCTTCAGCGGGCTCAGTTCGGACGCATACTCCATCGGTGCGAGGAGAAAGTCCATGACCACGATCTTCAGCGAGCGAGTCCCCACAGAGGCCAATGCAAAAAGGATGCCAATGAGGGTGCTGCTGCGCTCAGGCGCAGCAACAGCTCCAATGGACTTCACTTCGCCCGCTGCAATCAGCAAAGCGCCGCAGCAGGCCACTGAAACCCCGGCCCAGGACATCCAGCTAAGCTTTCTCCCAACGGCGTACGAGAGCACCGCCACGCTCACCTCAGCGAATCTACAAAAGCAACTGAACCAACTGAACCATTATAAATTCAGCCAAGTGGCAGGGGAGAGAGTCCCTAGGATTGCACAGACGCCGGCCCCGGCGTAGACCAGGGCGGTGTTGTTGAAAACGACAGTCAATGGGTTGCTTAAAGCGATGGGAAATATATTCCGGACAAACCACTCGTTCGTCCTCACCTCGTGGTGGGCCTTCGCCCCGAAGGCAGTCCGGTATATACAGCAGGTGACCCACACGAAAAGAAAATGAAGCGTAGTGACAGCTCCTGACAAGAGCGGTCACAAGGCT